AGACAAGAGGAAGAAAAGCGGTGAGGGACCATTCTTCTCTCTGTCTCAGAAGCACATTATACTGATACTGCTAAGAATTTCTTAGGTAAATTGAGCCAGGGAACTACCTGGACCTGCTTTCACAAGAAGGCCTACTAAAAGAAATCTGCTGAGTAACTGAGGTTGGGGAAGGAAATTATACTGGGAAAAAACAGATTAAGAATTTTTAAAAACTACTAGAAACATCATTTTGCTGCAAAGGTCCATATAGTCATAGCTATAGTTTTTCCAGTAGTCATGTATGGATGTGGGAGTTGGACCCTAAAGAAGGTTGAGTGCCAAAGAATTGATGCTTTCAAACTGTGGTGCTGGAGAAGACTCTTGAGAGTCCCTTGGACAGCAAGGAGATCAAACTAGTCAATCCTACAGGAAATAAACCTGGAATTTCAGTGGAAGAAATGGTGCTGAAGCTGAAGCTTCAATACTTTGACCACCTGATGCGAAGAGCTGATTCACTGGAAAAGTCCCTGATGCTGGGAAAGATTTAAGGCAAAAAAAGAAGGGGGTGACAGAGGATGAAATGGTTGGATGGTGTCACTGACTCAATGGACATGAGTTTGAGCAAACTCAGGGAGATAGTGAAGGACAGGGAAGCCTAGCGTGCTGCAGTTCATGGGGTTGCAGAGTCAGACATGACTTAGTGACTGAACAACAACAACAAACTACTAAGGGTTAATCACTGACTTATTTAAAATCCAGTTGAATATGTACATATAAATAATTATACTTCATTTTATGAGCATAAACACAACACACATGCCAAGTTGCATCAGTTGTGTTGGACTCTTTGCGACCCCATGGACTATAGTCTACCAAGCTCCTCTGTCCATGGGATTTTTCAGGCAAGAATACTGGAATGGGTTGCCATGCCCTCCCCTTCAGGGGATCTTCCTGACCCAGGGGTTGAACCCTCATCTCCTGTGTCTCCTGCATTGGCAGGCCGGTTCTTCACCTCTAGTGTCACCTGGGAAGCCCATACACACACAGACACAAACATATGGACTATCGTTTTATATATAAACTTCAAACACACACATCTACATGCACACATGCACACACACTCATACTCTGGTCTGCTTGGATAATCCTAGGCATGTCTAGAATCATGGAACATGGTGGTGTATATCCTATAATTTGGAGAACATCTCATCTACTGCTCAAAAATTTCATCAGAAACCTGCAAGTCATTCTGGATTCCTCATTTCCTTTTATCCTCCCATATTATCAAGCTCTATGTCATCTCACCTACATTTATTCGGTGTCCTCACTGTATCTGTTCCTCTCTGTTTTCACTGTCTCCACAGGTCCTCAACATTTAAAAAGCCTACTCCTAAGGAACTATGGTGTTGGAGAAGACTCTTGAGAGTCCCTTGGACTGCAAGGAGATCCAACCAGTCCATCCTAAAGGAGATCATTCCTGGGTGTTCATTGGAAGGACTGATGCTGAAGCTGAAACTCCAATACTTTGGCCACCTCATGCGAAGAGTTGACTCATTGGAAAAGACCCTGATGCTGGGAGGGATTGGGGGCAGGAGGAGAAGGGGATGACAGAGGATGAGATGGCTGGATGGCATCACCGACTCGATGGGCATGAGTTTGAGTAAACTCTGGGAGTTTGTGATGGACAGGGAGGCCCGGCATGCTGCGATTCATGGGGGTGCAAAGAGTCGGACATGACTGAGTGACTGAACTGAACTGAACTGAAGGTGAGGCTGGGATGATTTGAGAGAATAGCATTGAAACATGTATCTATCATATGTGAAACATATGATCATATGTGAAACAGATCGCCAGTCCAGGTTCGATGCATGAGACAGGGAGCTCAGGGCTGGTGCACTGGGATGACCTTGAAGGATGGGATGGGGAGGGAGGTGGGAAGGGTTTCAGGATGGGGAACACATGCACACCCATGGCTGATTCATGTCAATGTATGGCAAAAACCACTACAATATTGTAAATTAATTAGCATTCAATTAAAATAAATAAAAAGAAAAAAAGCCTACTCCTTCTAGTGGGCTCAAGCCTACTAGACTCAAGCCATTCCAGCCGTTTCTATACTTTTTAGGAGTGATCATCCTATACCGGAAATGTGAACGTTTATGGAGCTCACTGAATGTCAAAGCTCCTGCCTCCCTTCACAGTCACCCTATTATAAACCACATCAAACTGAACATGAGACAATGTCCTCTATATCCATAACTCTCAGTTTGGGCTGTCCCCCAAACAGACCCTGAAACAAAGATACGGTTGTGCGATGTTTACCTGGGAGGAAGTAGAGAAGGAAAGACAGCAGGGAGAAAAGTCAATCAAGTGTGTGTTAATGAACAGGTTACCACTCTCCAAGGGGTCCTTTGGAGAGACTGTAAGGAACATACTTCAGGACTGTCCCATTGAGGGTTAGTGCAGCCGGGATGTTATCCACCAATTTACTGTTGGAGAGTGACTGCTGGGTGTTAATTCTCCTGCAACTTCTAGCAAACAGCTACTTGTCCAGAGAATATCCCCAGGTAGTGAAATACAGAAAGTCACTGGCAGGTGACCACCTAATAGGCCTCAGGTGCCAATAACACCTGCTATATCACGCAGTACCCTTATGCCCTTTCTCCCAAATGAGTTCTTTACTCCGCTTGTCTTCTGGATCCTTTACGATTTAGGTCACTGAAGCCCTTCTTGACCTCCTCTGGAAGTGCTTTATTTCCTTTTCTGTGCACCCTCTCTTCTGCTGCAGCTATTACATTGTAGCTATTAATTCACAAGTCTGACCCTCTGACAGACTCTGGGCTCCCTGGGGAGCTTCAGTACTTAGCTTGGAGTCTGGCCCAGGGCAGATGTTCAGTCAATGTCTACTAGACAAGGACATGGTTGTGTGTGTTAGAAAGAAGAGGACGGTGTCCTCCATATATGTAATTGACAAAGTCTTCAAAGAAACAAAATGTATGCTCCCATATTCTAAATAGTTTAATAGTTTATACTATGTGTGTAAGAGGGAACACCAGGGGAGGAACCTTGAGTTCTAATTCAAATTATTTTGGCTCAGCTGCTTTCCCTATGAGTGGCTATGAATGACCTTTAAGCTTCTTTCAAGTCCCACAGATTGCAAGTGACTGAATCCATGTGTTAAGGGAATGCTGATGCCCACAAACTACACAACAACCATATGTGGAAATGTTTATGTGTGTGATATTCATTTGGATTCAAGGGAAGAGTACAGAGGACAAAGACTTGAGATGCTGGCAGGTTATAATGGCATGTACATGAAAAATCCAGTGTTGGAAGGGTCTTCTGGGTGAGAGGCTCCCTCCCAGGGAGTGGCCAGGCTACTGCACAGAGTGAGCTGGGCAGCATGGCGGCCTCTAAATTGGCAGGGGCCAATGCCCTGGATGGAACCCGTTACTGTTGCTACCAGAACTTACCTAGGTCACAGACCTACAAATAGCCCCTTCCTGAATTCTCATCAAATCCCTGGAAGGTAGCCTCTGGCTACATTTCTAGAGGGAACAGACTAAGTGTAATAGTGACTAAAGGCCATGCTTGACTTCTTTGATACTCAGACAGTCTTAATCTTCCTAGAAATGTGACTGGGGCTGGAGGGACTCGGTAAGAATAAAGACTAGGTGGTTATCAAGGTCCTGTGTAGAACAGACCAACAAATGTTGAGGAAGTTAATTTCTGAAAACAAATTCTCTTTTAAAATATTTAGAAAAGAGACATTAGCACTGTGGTACATTGAATATGGCTGGACAAGATTTCTTTAAGTAATCAGATTTAATTAGCTTCAAATAGTTTCTTTCTTGATAAATCCCTACATATACATATATATATGCATACACACAGATATATGGGCTTCTCTGGTAGCTCAGCTGGAGACCCTGGTTTGATCCTTGGGTAGGGAAGATCCCCTGGAGAAAGGATAGGCTATTCACTCCAGTATTCTTGGGCTTCCCTGGTGGCTCAGAGGGTAAAGAATCTGCCTGCAATGCGGGAGGCCTGGGTTCGATCCCTGGGAGGGAAGATTCCCCTGGAGGAAGGCATGGTAACCTACTCCAGTATTCTTGTCTAGAGAATCCCTATGGACAAAGAGGAGCATGGCGGGCTACAGCCCATGGGGTCACAAAGAGTCAGACACGACTGAGCAACTAAGCACTGCACAGCATATATATATATATAATTGGCATGCAGTGCTGTTTAGACTTTAATTGTAAGCAAATTATTTTACTGAATATCCTCAATATGTCTGAGGAATATGTCATATTCCTGTCAGAAACACTGAGTCACTATTGCAAACGATTCTGAACTTGGTAGGGAGGGAGAGGAAAGAACACGAGGTGGTTACTGTCTCTCTTAGAAAATTACTGCTTTTGAGGACAGTCCACAGGATGGGGTGGGGAGTTTAGAGAGCCAACCAGGCTACTAGTAGTTCCTGATACACTGGCTATAATCATGGCCACGGGGCACGAGTGACTTCATGGAGTTATTGTTTTTGGATGGCTCTTCTCTTATTCATAGAGATACCTTGGAAGAAGGAACAAAGGGGAAAATAAAGAACCCAGCAGGCTGTAACTGAAAGCAAGTGATGGTCAGGGCACTGTGAGGCTGTGCCATGTTATGCTGAGGATCTGACTTGATTGGTCGAGGCTTTGTTACTGACCTCCTGACTCAAGGAAAATCACTTGATTCCCTGGATCTCAGTGGAAGAGGGACTGGATGGTCTCTTACAGAAATTATAGATAAGTTAACGACACCAACAAGAAAAAGAGGCTCTGATAGGAGCTTGTAGCCAGGGAAAAATGAGAAACATTAGACAAGTCTCAGTACGGGAAGCCAGTAAGGACAGACGTAGCACAATCAGGAAAAGAGGCCAAGATGACCATGTACATCCCTATGAAACGACTCCAGAATGAGCAAAGTCCAAGAGATGTTTCAAAAGTTGAGTCCAGACTGACATCGAGTAGAGGCCTTACCTTCCGGTGACAGCAAAGCAAAGCGTGCACATTCCCTGTAAGAGTCCTGCAGCATGCTGCAGAAACGTCGCCATCTTGGGATTCTCATCCACCGGGCCTTGCACCGAGAGGAAGCAGCCACAAAGCTTGTCGATCAGACCGATGTTCACCACGTAGCTAGATGTGGGGACAAATACGTGTTACCAATGTGCCTAACCTGGTAACATCTTTCCCTTCAAAAAGTGAAAGTGAAAGTTGCTCAGTCACGTCCGACTCTGGGACCCCATGGATGGTAGCCTCCCAGGCTCCTCTGTCCATGGAATTCTCCAGGCCAGAACACTGGAGTGAGTGGCCATTCCCCTCTTCAGGCATCTTCCCAACCCAGGGATCTCGCATTGCAGGCAGGTTCTTTACTGGCTGAGCCACCAGGGAAGCCCTCACCTTCAAAGAGAAACCTTAATAAACACAGGCTTAGGCCTCTCTGACAAGTAAAGACAACATAGGTTTGAGTACAATATCTTAAGCAACTATCTCCTTAGATTTATCCCTGAATAATCAGTTATTTCTATGAATGGTTCTGTTTACTTCTGTTGGCTACTCTAATGCTATTTTCTTCAAGAAAGTGATTATCTGATTATTCTCACCAGTCTAGAGTCTGACAATAACTGAAAAGATTTATAAGGATCTCCATACTCTTTAAAAGGAATACTTTTTAAAGTACTAGGAGCTAAATTCACTAGAATGCAAGGATTCAGGATGATGCTACCCAGGCACTCTTGTTATAACCTAAACTTCCAATGCCACTGTAGATTCTCTACTTTTTAAAACCTTATCACCATTAAGAGTATAACAAGCAGCAAGAATCCAACTGCCCTCTTTTATGAAAAGTACCAGTTCTGAGAGTTGACAGTATCACTTCAGAAGTTACTCTCATCTTTTCAGTCTATTAAACAGTTGTCTAGAACTGTTTATTAACCCAGATCAACAAAAGTAGCTCTCAGTCCACAAAGCAGAAATAATTGAAAATATTTGAAGACTATAAAGTACCTTGTAGATAAATCAGCCTTAGCTTAGAGATTCTATACCAATTCAATGCTACTGCACTCACATATATGAAAAGTGAAGGACTCTGAATATAGCAGTTCTGAAAATCAACACATCTTTCAGGGATATGTGCAAAGGAACTGATGCTTCTGCTTGTAACTGCACTAAAATCCCTATCACTGTTCATTTACTAATACACTTCTTTTGTAAAAGGAAGGAGAATCTGATGAATAATAATAATCATGTTGGTAGACTCTTTTAAGTTTACTATTTACAAGGTATAAAATAATGTTCCCTTTCTCTTTTTAAGTTAGGAAATATATTCATCTGGTTACTGAGCATCTCCCAGTTTTAAAATTGGGAAATATGAAATGATGACCACCAGCCCTATTATCTTATAATAAAGGAAGATGACATATTGACACATTGAACCCTAGTCCCACAAGTTACTGGATGACCTTGGGCAAATTACCTTCTTAGTCTGTTTTCTTTTTGATACAACAGTGTTAGTAGAAGGTTCTTGTGATAAGTGACTGATAAGCTAATACATGCAAAGAACTTCATATATTTTATTATTAGTTTTATTGTTACTAGTAGTAATAATGGCAGTATTTTAAAAATAGATGCATGCAAACTTACTAGTCATAAATACAATAAAAAATTAACACAACACAAAATACCATTTCACAAATATTAGACTGATAAAAATCACTAAGTATGTTAACATAAAACACTGATAAAGATATGAGAAAATGGGACTCCTATCCTTTACCAATGGGAAGTGTACTCTTTGAAGAACAATATGATGTTACTTGGTAAAGTTGAACATGGATTTATAATAGGATTCAAAATTCTTACTGTAGGCATATGCACTTGAGAAACTCGTGTATAGGTACAAAAGAAGTTTCTACAAGGATATTCACTGTATCATTGCTTGAAATAGTGAAAAAATAGAAACTACTGTCCTCAAATAGGTGTACAAACTGGGAATTTATTCATTTAAAAAATGTGTAGAGCAGTTAAAATGAATTAATCAGAATTATATGAATCAACATAAATAAATCTCAACATGTGAAAATAGAAATTGAAAGAATTGTATGATAGTATTTATGTAAATCTTAAATACATACAAAACAGAAATGTTTATGGATATTTATTATATGAATATATAGAAATATATATATATACTAGACACATATATATTACACATACATATATAAAAATAATATAAAAAGATGCATGGGAACTATATACACATACTCTAACTCTCACTCGAGGGATAAATCACTGTGTAAGGGAAAGGAATGTAGATGGAGAGTTAGCTGTACCTGCAACATTTGGTTTCTTACCAATATGAAAAAATATCTAAGACAATATGGAAAAATGTTATGTTACTGAAAAATGATGTCAAGTTGGTACATAGGCATTGATAATTTTGTAAGGTGTAGGTTGGTACACTACATAAACTCATAGAAAATTTAAATATTTTTGAAGGGAATAATGACAAACTGAAAGAGCATTTGAAACCTGTAAGATAAGGTTAATGCTTTATTCTTCAGGCTTATTGAGATATAGTTAATATACACATCATTTAAGGTATACAATGTGATGATTTGTGTATTGATTACAAAATGTTACTATTTTCTAGTTTCACACCACTATATCAAGTATCAGAGAAGATACTTGATATAATTTCTATGTTTTTGGATTGTTGAGATTTCTTTTGTGGCATAACATAGGATTCATCCTTGAAAATGTTCCATGTGTGTTTGAGAGTAATATATATTTTGCTGCTGTTGGATGGAGTACTCTATATATGTCTGTTAGGTCCTTTTGGCCTAAGTGCTGTTTAAATCTGCTGTTTCCTTATCGATTTCCTGTCTGGAAGATCTATCTATTATTGTTGGGTGTTTCTTGTTGCTGTTTGGTTGCTAAGTCATGTCTGACTCTTTTGCAGCCTCATGGACTGTAGCCTGCCTGGCTCCTTGTCCATGGGATTTCCCAGGCAAGAATATTGGAGTGGGTTGTCATTTCCTTCTCGAGGAATTTATTGTTGAGAGTGGGGTATTAACATCCCCATGTATTACTGTATTGTTGTTCTCCATTTAGTTCTGTTAGTATCAGTTTTACATATTTAGGGGCTGGATGCATAAATAATTACTGTCATATCTTTGGTGGATTGACCCCTCTATCATTATATAATGATCTTCTTTGTCTCTTTTAACCATTTTTAGCCTAAAATTTATTTTTGTTGATATAAATATAGCTACCCTTCCTTCCTTCTTGTTACCATTTCTTTGAAATATGTACACCCTTTGCTCTTAGTCTTTGTGTCTTTAAAGCTAAAATGAGTCTGTTACAGTCAGTATGTTGTTGGGTGTTGTTTTTATCCTTCAGCCACTCTGTGTCTTTTGACTGGAGAATTTAATCCATTTACCCTTAAAGTAATTACTGGCCGCTAAGGACTTACTATTGATATTTCACTAATTATTTTCTGTTTTTTAGCTCCCTTGACCTGCGTTCCCTCTCTTGCTGTCTTCTTTTGTGACCTGATGACTTTTTGGGACAGTATGCTTTGACTTCTTTATTCTAAGTGTATGTACTATAGGTTTTTCTTTGGGAAATATATTTATTGGATTCTGTTTTTTTAATTAGTTAATTTTAATTGGAGAATAATTACTTTACAGTATTGTGGTGGTTTTTGCCATATATTGACATGAATCAGCCACGGGTGCATATGTGTACCCCCATCCTGAACCCCACTCCCACATCCTTCCCCACCCCCTTCCTCTGGCTTGTCCCAGAGCACTGACTTTGAGTGCCCTGTTTCATGCATCAAATTTGCACCGGTCATCTATTTTACATATAGTAATGCACATGTTTCAATGCTATTGTCTCCTATCATCCTACCCTCACCTTCTCCCACGTAGCCCAAAAGTCTGCTCTCTACACCTGTGTCTCTCTTGCTGCCTTGGAAGAGACACATGTACCCAGTGTTCACTGCCACACTGTTTACAATAGCCAGGACATGGAAGCAACCTAGATGTCCACTGGCCGATGAACGGATAAGGAAGTTGTGGTGCATATTGCATTCTGTTTTAGGTTGATAAGTTTGACAGCATACAGAAAATTTATGCAGTTGTCCCCTCATTATCTGTGGGGGATTGGTCCCAGGACCTGCTGTGGATACCAAAATTCACAGATGCTCAAGTCCCATCATTGGCACTCCATATCCTTGGTTCTGCACCTGCAGACTCAACCAACTACAGATTGTGTAGTACTATAGAAGTATTTATTTAAAAAAAAACTTGCATCTAAGTAGACATGCACATTTCAGACCCGTGTTGTTTAAAAGTCAACTGTACTTTTATTTCTCCTTCCTCATATTTCAGGTTATTCATGTTACAGTTCACATATTTTTATAGTGTTCATACAATAACAAATTTCTGTGGTTATGGTTGTATCTACTACATTTGATTTTTAACTTTCAAACTAGCTTGTAAGTGAATTTTATGTATCACCATTATAATACCAGAGATTTGATTTTGACTATATGGTTAGCATTACCAGTGAGTATTACACATCCATATGTTTTCATCTTATTAATTATTACCTTTTTCTTTAAACCTGAAGAATGCCCTATAGTATTTCTTGTAAGGGGGGTCTAGTGGTGATGAACTTCATCTGCTTTTTTTGTTTGGGAAAGTCTATTTCTCCTTCATTCCTGAAGGACAGCATTGCTGAGTACAGCATTCTTGGTTGGCAGTTTTTTCTTCAATATTCTGAAAGGCTGTGCCATAGGCTGGGCTTCTTGATCAGGCTGCTGGCTGTGCTCTGATATTGAGCAAGACTGCTAGCTGGCCTCTCTGGTTGGGAGCGGTCTCCTGTTGTATCTCACAGATGGGTGGGTCTAGAAACTGTCTCTCTGGTTGAGAAGAATTTTGTCTGGGCTCCATTACAGGGTGGGGCTGCAGGCTATACTCTGCAGTTGAGTGGGACCATAGCTGGGTTCTGAGGTTTCCCAAGGTTACTGTTCAGTCTTCCTGGTTATGTGGGGTCAGAGGCTGAGCTCAACAGTTGGACATGGCTGCTGGCTTGACTCCCTGCCTGAACAGGGCTGTAGTTTGGATTTT